GGGGATTATTTATTTAGCTAAAACTCTGAATAGCATTGAGACGGTTTATTTTTTTATCTTTCTATATATACTTCTCAAATTAAATATATTCGTGATTTTTTTTTAATTTACCATCAGTTCTATGACCAAATTTTAGTTTTATTTTTTCCTTCTAAATCATGTCCACATGACAGAGATGAGGAGCTCTAACGAGGAAGGAAGCAAATTTGATACGGTGGATGTGAGTTTGCTTTGATGTTTATTATTTTTGTTTGCTTTGATGCTTATTATTTCTAGATTGTTATGTGATATTGTCCAAGCTACAAAGGTAGAACTTTTCAAGATTATGATATATGAGATCACATTTGGAAAGGGAATATCAATGAGACATCATCCCAAACAAGTTAAGTGAAGCTTCGATCGTTTAGTTATTAATTACTTTCTCTTATTTAGATATATCCCAATGACACGTGTTTAGATCCAATTGTTGGCTATGTTATTAAGAAAATGTAATTTTGCCTTTGTGAATAGTCCCATATTGGAAAAAGAAATGAATAGTTGGTGGTTTATAATGGTTCTCCTCTTATTAGGCTTTGAATAGTGTTTTGGGTTTTGTATTGTTTGGGCTTTGCATAACACGCACGCGCGCCTCACCACGCCATGTCGGCGAACGTTATAGAATTGAATGTTGGATTTTGTAACGGCTCTCTAAAACCTCTAAATAAGTAGCACTTCTCATTCTCAAAACACACATAAAAAATCTCTTCTTTCTTTTCTCTCCTCTGCTTTCAAAAGCGATTTCCGTCCATATTTTAGTTTTATTTTCATGTAACCTTCTTCATCTGAGCAGAAGCTCGGTACTCTCGCCCGAGTTCAGAGGTCGGCCGATTCCGGGGGCTTTTACTGCTAGGGGAGAGGATCATTTGCGCCAGGGCGATAGGCGGGCCCTTAATCTTCTAGGGTAGTATTTACACGACTGCTCTCGATTAGGCCAAACTTTTTGATTCCTTTTTTACATTCGGATTTATTTGTTAATCTACATGCTATAACTTAATAATATTTGATTTATATCTAACACCAATAAATGCACATGGTAATTTGTTTCCACATTGTCATATATAATCAAATGAATTAAGTTAATAAATAAAATTAGTTTTAAGCATCCATGTACTTTCAAATGAATCTTAGTAAGTATAAATCCTAAGTTGTTATCATTCATTTTTTAGAATCCTATTAATACTTTGAAGAGTTCTCTAGTACATTGGATCTCTAGTTTGCCAAATTGTTAACTTGGGTTAAGTACTTTAACACAATTGTGAAGCTTTTCCTTATTCGTCTTTTAGCTTATTTTCATGCTAATGTCGCAGTATCGCACGAGTCAATTTTGCTCGTTTCAATTCTATAATCTTATCTGAAAAATGTCAGACTCCGAGCCTCCGGCCCACTGCCAACTCTGCTACTTAGTACAGATGATTAACTTGGGAAACAGGCTTAGTTTTGTGATGATGTATTTAGGATGGATTTTTTTTTGAAAAGTATTTAGGATGGATTTAAAGCTTGTTGAACAAGTATGATGACTACAAACAATACAAAAAAAGCAAAGAAACAAAAACAAAATGGAAACATATATGAAAGTATGAAATACGTAAATATTTCAAAATCAGCTCGATGCATGTTGTATTTTGAGAACGCCTCCACATTGGTTTCACTTTTATCAATGAACCGAGGCTCTAGAAAAATAAGAACTTTTATGTAAACATAAAGTTTTTCCTTTGGATTACAAATACGATTACTATTGGAACTGTTGTGTTTTTCCTTCACTTTCTCCACTTCCCCCCAATAATATTGTGACAACTCGTCCCATCACATCTCATTTATTACTTTTAAAAATAAACTAAACATAAGAAATGAGTCACACCAATCAACTCATCTAACTCACCTCACCAAACTTTCCTTCACTTTCTATCATCCTTAAAAATTACTCACATCATCCAATAATATGGTGACAACTCATCATATCTCATTAAAATTTTCTTCCATCCCTTTCCTCCAAAAAATAAGGAAATTGATTTTCCTGAGTATGGATCACATTATCCAATAATATAATGACAACTCATTTTCTCTTATTTATTTTCTTAGTTTTAAGAATGAACCAAACACAAGAAAGAACAAAAAATAAAGAAAGTGGAGGAAAACATCAAAAATTACTCATCTTATCCAATAATATGGTGACAGCTCATTTTCTCTCTCACTTTCTTTCCGAATTTTGACGAACCAAACATCAAAAAGTAGAGAAAAACATCAAAATTCATTTTCTTTCCCTCACTTTCTGCAATTTTTTACGAAACAAACAGGCCCTAAGCAATAATTCAATGAAAAAAGAACAAGAGTCATTGATCAATATGATAGCAATTCAACTATTCAAGTGAAGGACTCCACGCCATCGTCATAAAAAAAGACAAAAAAAAAACAAAGAAGCGAAGGACTCCACATTTCTTATAGTTCAGAAATAGTATGATGTTTGTACAGCCTAGTGGGTACCATCTTTCTGAAGGCCTGGACTCTAAGGCTCTGTTTGGCAAAACTAGCTGAAAGCTGCGAGATTATAGCTGAAAGCTGTTAAGCTAGCTGAAAGCTGTGAAATTGTAGCTGAAAGCTATTAGCTGTGTAGCTAGCTGATTGACTAGAGCTGTTTGGCAAAAGTAGCTGTACAACTAGCTTAAGTTTGTTAAATGACTAAAAAAGACATGTAATATTATTGATATAAAATTAAAATTATTAGGGGTAAAAACGGAAGACAAAAATTGGCAGCTCCTTCCCAAAGATAAACGCTACTTAAGGTAGCTTTTCAAAAGCTACTTGCAAAAGACACAATCTCTAAAATAATCTCCTCCTATTTTTGGTCACCCACAATCTCTAAAATAATCTCCTCCTATTTTTGGTCACCAAACAGCTCTACTAGCTTATTGACCAAGTCAATAAGACACAAGCTCTTAGATAAGACACTTTTTTTGTTGCCAAACAGTGCCTAAAGCATACTACAACGCGAACTTTTGGCTTTCAGACTGCACAGTTGTTTTTTTTAGCGGATATATTAAAAGACTCATGAATTGTACATAAAAGAAGAGGCCTAAGAGCATCTCCAAGGGGCCGGAAAAAAATCCGGCCTCTTAGAGCATCTCCAACAAGCTCCTAGTTGGAAGTCATCGTTGGAGAGCTCTCAAGACCTCTTTAGATATGACCCACCATTTTCAATGTCACATCATATGGGAGACCACCTAACTAATGTTGATATCAAACAAACTCCTAGTTAGGAGCTCCAACAATATAAAAAAACCACTTTTCTATTTTAGTTTTGTTACACATTACTTTCAATTATATTTAAATCTCTTTTATTTAATTCCACCGACAACCAACAACAGATAGATTCATATCCGTTGGACACGGTCTTTGAGGGAGCATGCACTTTCACTGACAACTAACATATTCCTATCAATCTGAGCAACGCATCCGCATAACTTGTTGACGGACGGTTGAATTGTTGACCAACGATGCATCATTTGGTTTGGTGTGTGGCTCGTTGGATCGGTAGAGTATTGGATAAAGTAGTCATTAGCTCCGTGCCTAAACTTATCTTTGTATTACCCCGTACCTTGGATGGCGTCTTGGCTCGTGTTCAGCCAAGCAGACACAAGAAGCTTATCCTTGTGGACAGTCCAATTTTCGGACCGCGTGTAAGCCTTCTTCTTCTTTGTGGTCGGTGTTTCTTGGGATGACACTTGTTGTGTTGCCGATTGCGAGAACTCATGAATGAGGTGACCTTCTTCTACGACGTCTGTGTAGAACGGCGGGTATAAGCCCGATCCTTCACCGGTAAGGAGTTGCGAATAAAAGTTTTGGGAGGGATCCATTATATTTGTAATTTAATAGGAAAATATAGAGTTTTTTTATGAGAGCGATGTGTGGAATGATTTGTGTAGTGAAATGAGTATTTATAGAATTTTTTGAAGTTCATGCCAATTTTTTAAATCTCAACGGCTAATTTTTAAACGGCTAATTTACTGTTCATGTCCATTTTAAAAAATCTCAACGGCTAATTTTTAAACGTCTATTTCCAAACTGGGCTCAAAGATAGGGAGATTTTTGTAAAATTATTTTAATACCTGGGAGCTCCCAAGCGCTCCACAATTTTGTGGAGCGCTTGGGAGCTCCTTGGCACAAGCTGTAACCTTAGCCTTAGGAGGTGGGGGTGAGAGCTTGTTGCAGATGCTCTTAGTTAAATTAAGGGCAAATGTAGTGGAAGTTGCTCCAAGGAGCCGAAAAACTTTCCCGTTCACCTCAAACCTCTTCTCTCTCTCCCCAAATTAAGGGAAAGGTTAAAGTCCCTTAACCTTTCCCTTATACTTTTATATTAATATTTTAATACAGTTTAATATATAATTAATCAAATTTAGTTAATATATAGTTATTAATATTTAATTATTTATTGATGATTTATATAAATTAATTATTATATAAATTAATTATTTGTTAAATTTTAATATGATTAATTAATTTTTTAATGATTATATAAGGTAATTTATTAATTTAAATTAATTAATTAATTATTTTTAGTTATCAGTATTTAATTAATTATTTATTTATAAATAAACTATACGTTTAATTAAATCCTAATCTATAAAATTAAAACACTAAATATAAATAATTAAGGGGTAGAGGGACTTTTAAAGATGAACCATTGGAGGAGAACTTTTCATTCTTTTATAAATGCGTCCCTAGATTAAGGGAGATTGTAAGGATCCCATGGACATGCTCCAACACTCAAATAATATCTAAATCCGTTGGACATCAAATTGGCCCGTTTAACTTGTCAGCAAGAACAGCCTCAAACATCAGTCTATGAAACTTTGTAAATAGGCCTTGTTTGAATAAACGCTGCTCGACTTACTGGGCCTCAAATAACGAAAATGCCCTTGGGACTAACGAGCAATACCAGCGCTCGGTGGTAAACCCTAGACTATAAATATCAGATGAAGGCAGCCGCCTCCGCTCCCCAAAACTTTTAGCCACTCGAAGAACAGAAGAAAAATCGAAACTTTGATCGGCCAAAGCTCTAGAGTTTTCAGTCCGAAACGATGAGGGCGAAGGTGAGATCCTCAATTATCTGTTCGCAGATCGTAATTTTTCTCAAATTGTTTTTATCCAGATACTTGATCTCATGAAGCAAAAGATATAGCGTTATTGATTTAGGATCACAGTTGCAGATGTTGCTGATGAAATTATTTTATCTTTTGCTGCATGAATGTATATATATTTTTTTATGATGATGCTTAAATTTGCAATCAAGTCCTATTTATAATGGCTTTTCGATCTATATTATACGTTTATTACTTTCTAAGACTGCAGATTTATTGGGAAAAGTGTTAGTTGACATATTATTAAAACATCATTTCGCAATGGGGTTTATGATTAATTGTTGTGGGCTTCATGATACTGAGTTTACATAGAATAAGGATACCCTTTAGTTGAATAGCTTAATTCAGCACAACTAGGTTTGCAGCCTGTAATTTTATGTTAATCAGATCAATTGATCATGAAGTTAAGTGCATATTGCGAGCTAATTTTGTTGATTATGTGGATTGCACGGAAGAATTTTGACGCCGATGTGTTAAAAGTTCACTAATGAAATCTCCAGGTGTCATTTGTGAATGGAGGTTACGTGTTTTGGATTTTGTGGTTCAAATTCAATCTTTTGATGGTACTGTTGAACTGTAGTCTGAAATTGTAATACAAAAAAGTGGAGGGCTCAAAGGTTGCAATTTCATGAGAATCAAATTAATTGATAGTGGAGTTAAGTAGTGGAGTTCAGTGCTTATTGCAAACTAATTTTGTTGATTATGTGGATTGCATGGAAAAAATTTAACGCTGATGGGTTGCAGGTTCACTAGTTAATTTCTCAGGTTTCACTACTCACTAGTGAAATGTCATCTGTAAAATGAAGATTTTGTGCTTTGGATTTTGTGGTTTGAATTCAATCTTTTGATGGCAATGTTGATTGTAGCCTAAAATTATAGTACAAAACAGTGGAGCTTGTGGCATGTATCGTTTGGACTAGTAGCATAGTGATTTCGTGTGTTTGGAAAAGGCAGACAATACTTTGTTTGAAGTATAAATGATTTTATACCTCTTGTATCTGTACATTACCTCGTCTTTGAAGGGTAAAGGAATGTATACCTCTTATATCTTTACACTGCCTTAGAAAGAGCAAATCGTGGTAAAAAATTGAAGGAATGATGGATAATCGTCACTTCATAGATTCTTAGGGAATATTCTTGTTAGAAGGGTAAATTGGTGATTTTCAAGGAATGAAATTTGTTCGTTTCCTCCCCTCAATAAATGTATCTTCTCTCCACCCTCTCTCTCAAAAAAAAAAAAAAAAAACACTTAAACATAGTTATAAGGATTTTGTTAACAGTAGTTATAAGGATTTTGTTAACAGGTGCCCTACGTTAAGGTTCATTAATCACCCTCTCAAAAATGGTCATTAATTACCCTCTCAACTACCTCTAGTATCTTGATATTAGAAGGGGTTTTGTTGATTAAGAGTCAATAATTAGCCTATCAACTACTTTCGTAGTCTTGCTATTACAAAGAAGTCATTATTAAAATACATGTGATGTTTAATGCTTTGAACATTTTATATATGGGCAAAATTGTCCATGCTCTTAAACCTATAATACTTTCCCCTTAATAAAAATAATAAAAACCCAGAAATAATAGTTTATAACAAATAATATTTTAAAAATAATGTTTTTTGTAAAACTTTTCTGTGAAAACTTATAATTTTTGTCTTTTTTGAAAAACAACATAAATGAAAACAAATAGTTTTTGAAAAATAAAAATTTTCATATTTTTCATAAATTTTTTGTTGGGGAACATACATTTTTTGAAAATAATAATATGGTCTCAAAAATAACATTTTTAAAATATTTATATTTTTGACAAATAAGTTTCTTATAAACATTTTTAAATTTAAATTTTGCAAAGTGGTATACAATTTAATAATTGTAGCTTTAAGAGCATGGACAATTTTGTCTATATATAATATGTTCAAAGCATTAAGTCTCATGCATTTAATTTAATATTTCTTTCTAACACCAAAAATATTAAAGTAGTTGAGAGGCTAATTAATGTCTCTTAACAAGTTCCCTAGGGGCACTTGTTAACAAAACCTAAAGAACTTGTAGTTAATATACATCTCAAAATAAATACTTATAAAATTTAGTATTTGACTAAATTGCCCATACTCAACAATATGCATTATGGTATTAATTAGTTAGGTTGAATATTTTATTTTCAAGTGTATGGGTGACTTTTTATTGCCAAAGTACATCCCAAAAAAATATTAAGGACTTAAATAATATGAAATAATTAATTTAATGAAATTGAATTATCATAGAAGCGGAGAATAATCCAAAATTGCCTATGCTTAAACTAAAGTTACACTATCATGGAAGCAAATCATTGTAATAAAATGTTTGATGATAAAGTGAAATAATAATTTACTACAAAATTGTAGTACGGTGACTATGGTCATATTGTTGAGTAGAGTTATTACAGTATGGGCAATTTAGTCAATACTTAATTTTATGGAAGTATTTATTATGAAATGCATATTACCTATAAGTTCTTCTAATACCAGGATAGTGGAGATGGTTGTTGGGCAATTAATGACCCCTCAAGAAGTGCCCTTAGGGCACCCGTAAATAAAACTATGGTTATAAACTAGTAAGTAACATAAAAGTTTAAAAATAGTTGTCATTGTATTGTAGTAGAGACACCATTGTAATAAATTCGTAAAAAATCATGACAATATGAAAAACATAATTATTACAATAGAAAATACATACACACATATTAGTTTTTGAGATGGATAGGGAGGAGATGTGTTCAATGAGGGAGGAAATGGACGAATGTCCATTCTTTGAGAAATTATCAATTTACCCTAAACAAGCAGCAACATTGTCCAAAAAAATCTATGAAATGACAAATTATCCATCATTCCTTCAAATATTTTTTTAGCCACACTTCGTTCAGATCAGGCGTCATTTTTCAAAGGAACAAGTACTCTAAAATTGCATCATCAGTACATTGTTCTTCTTTCTGTCCATGTATCTTTGTCCAACATAGGTTTCTTCTTTCACAGTTGCATGCTTAGATGCATATAGTTTAATTATTTTCTATAGAGTTAACAATTCAGCTGTTTCTGTTGTTTATAATACCATTTATAATAATTTGTTTTTGTATACTTTTAATTCAGTGGAAGAAGAAGCGCATGAGGAGACTCAAGAGGAAGCGCCGAAAGATGAGGCAGAGATCCAAGTAATTGGGTGTAGACTACTTCAATCAACGCACCTGACGACATCTAGGTTGATTGGGATTTGGATTGATCCTAATCTGGTGAAGATGCTGAAGGGGCTGTGTGTTGATGAGAACTGTCTTTGATATCTTATTTAGCATTAAAACCAGACTATTACCCGGTTGTTTTTGTTTTGAGTTTTAGTTGCGAGGGGATAACTTAGCAGTGACCTTGTTATTTTTAAGACTTATGTTGACTATGTTCTGAACTTTATGTGGTGTTTCCTTTAATTAGTTTTGGTTTGTTCGTGGTCTGCGCTTGAGTTGGTATTTTGGTTCTTGGATCTTGGTAAATTCTCTCAGGTTCAAGATGTTCTCGCAGAGTAACTGCTGCATGGTTTTTGTCAGGCTTCGGTGTTTGGTCTTTGGACTGGAAGCTAATTGGGGAAACAGAAAGAAGAAAAAAGAAAAACTGCTTTTTGTGCTTCGTTTTAGTTGCTGACCCAAAATCTGTTGCTTCATTCATCTTTGGTGAAGCTTTAAAATTCAGATTGTTGCATAGATTTGGGGTATCGCTGCAGGTATTCTGCTGTGCAGTGTATTTAGCTCTCTTATTCCTAATGGAGTAATCTGTTGAGGCAATGAAGATATAACCGCACTCTCAGCTCTAGTCTGCTCTGATCTAGCAATGTAACATGAACAGTAGAGTATGGTAATTTTGAACCGAGTGTTGCTACGGGGACCCAAAATATGGGACCAATGGATGGGACATGTGAGGTGTCCCCTCCCTATTGCATAATGAGTTGGCATGAGTTGGCATGGCCAACTCATTATGCAATAGGGAGGGGACACCTCACCTGTCCCCTCCCTTGGTCCCATATTTTGGGTCCTTAAATCATTTTCCTTTTGAACCATAGACTAACAAAATAGAGGACATTATTGTCAGTTTTGCATGCTTCTTCTCCTCTTTTCCTACATCGTTTTGATATACAAGGCTACATCACCAGTTACAGAGAGTTCTAATGAGATTTTGGTGTTTGTCGTGCTTCTTGTTATTTTCAATGGCATGTCCTGGCTCTGATCAACTGCGTTCAGAGTTTCTATCAGACCTTGACTTCAAAAAGGGTTGGTCTTGATCACCCTCCGTTTCAGTGGCTCAGAAGAAACTGTCATGGAGCCTTTTGAACATTCCTTTGACATCTACTCTGATAATGCGAAAAAATTTACTGTTGACGCACACGCTAACCAACTACAGATGAAGACGATCATCACCTCAGGCGAGCCAACCCTCAAAGCTTTGGAAGTCTATTTTGAGAGTCCAAGCCCATCAAAATACCTCCTAAATATGAACATCATGAATGTATGTTGCTAGCCAAGCTAGCACATAGAAGAGCTGAAATTTTGTCTTCAGGAAAGTTCTGTTATCGGATTTTTGTTTTTTTTTGGAGTTTCAGGTTTATATCCATTCCTAGTTTCCAGACCACTTCAGCTGATGAGATAGCACAGCTAGCTAAAGATGAGATTGCAATGCTGACTATGATGAGGGTTCAAACCCCCCCCCCCCACCCCCACCCCACCCACCTCACCCCACCTTCCAAAACCCCCGCCGGGGCAAACAGTATGCAAAAATGCGCATGCATCTAAACATACAATCAGCTGTTAAGTTGAATAAAATAGAAAGCGCCAGATGGAAGTTTGTAACTTGTTTGCTAATGTTCAGCAGCGCTGGTAACTTATCATAACACCAACATTCGATATCCTAATTTGGAAAAAGAATTCGCTTTTAAGTTAACAGTTTTAGTGACGGAACCGCAATTCCTGATGTTTTTTAAAATAAAGCGCAACATTCAGCTATCCATCCATTCCATTAAGAAGAACATATAGGTTTACTACACACGCCCACACAAAAAGATCATACAGGGTTACTATTAAAAAAAAAGAAAAAAGAAAAAAGAAAAAGAAGATCATACCGGGTTATTCATTAACCAAAATGACCTTGGTGTCAAGTTCCAAGGAAATAAATTGACAAGCCACAGGAAAGAAGATAAATATATATTTCATAAGTGCAACTAAGATGATAAAATCATAAAAAAATATAATTTCATAAGTGCAACTAAGATGATAAAATCATAAAGAAATGTACCTTCTTTATCCTTAACCTTATGTAGATGATCATGTTGTAATTCCTCCAAAGAAAAAATCATAAAGAAATATAATTTCATAAGTGCAACTAAGATGATAACATCATAAAGAAATATAATTTCATAAGCACATATCTCATGATCAAGTTGTAATTCCTCCAAAGAAAAAAAAGAAAAAAGAAAAAAAAGGAAAAGGTACATAGGATCGTAATATTCTAGGTTTTTTTAAGCAGGTCATTACATACAGATTGACAAAGATAACTACCAAGTGATGAAGTAAATTTTAGTGCCATAATGGCCCCTTATTGTACAACTTTTCTTGAACAAGAGGATTTACAAGAAACTTATGCTAATATCTTACAGACCCAATGTTCCTTTGTTGTTTCAGTGTCATGAAGCCAACTGACGTTATCTAAGTCCATAAGTTTGTGGACAAGATAATGATCTCGAGTTTCATTTACATACATGACTAAGGTATCACCTTCAGTGACTCAGTTTCCTAATCAGTCACAAAGATCATATCTCACATCTTCTTTTCTCAGCTCCTGCACCAAGTGTGTGAGGTTTCCAATACTTTAAGAAAAGGAAAGCAATATTTAAACATTCTTACATTTAAAATGATGGAAATTTAATGGGAATATCTGTTTCTTATTTTCTGTTTTATCAAGCTCATAGTACCAACCAAAAAAGATTTAACAATTAATGGTGCTTGAGCAGCATAAGCAGATTCAACTTGAAGATATTTAACAAAGAACAAAGAGATACTCATCTATTGGATCCTTGAAACAAAGTTGTTTGGCGATTTCCTCTGACCAAGTCAACAGTTCTTATCGCGAGAGAATAAAAGAAATGGAAGAAGCAGCTAACCAAATATCCGCTTCGAGAAAACAGTGCAATTAAATACTAGAAAAGCTGAACATGCAATTGTAATATTGACTTTTGTGTACAGTCTCACTCAAACAATTGTTATGACAATTTGAAAATGTAGTTATGATACACTTTAACATTATGGAATCAGTGGTTTACACATAGATAAAGAGGTCAGCTAAAAATGGGTGGTTCTCTCAGTCCAATTTAACCGACTGGATTTGTAGTTCAAATTATCCAAAGAGCAGATCTGCATAAAATACCAGATAACTGGGAACACTGATAGTTCTACTACTGTTATCTAGCTCTTAGTTTCTATGGGACAGAAAGGTTTCATATATAGGTAATTTGTCAAATATGTACACATCATCAAGCAACAGAGTCTGGGGAACCAGTCCGCTCAAGTTGTTATTCCTTAAAAAGAGAAGTACATAAGCAGCTATAGAATCCTAACCTTTATACTAGCCAAATTATTGCAAACAAATTGACATAGACAATAATCAAGTACTAGAGTACTTTTGTGCAATATTGTCACCTCACTGTTCATCAGCATGAGCAAAAATATTTAGTTATAGAGTAGAAACTCCAAAGCTAAATGTCTTCCAGAGCCAGCTTAGAGAACCCTGATGCCTTTAACTGTGAAAAATCGAGCTGTAAAGCTTTAATGGTTTCAACAAAACTTGCACTTTAGAATATCTAGCTTGTAGATGCTTACTCCAAGTCATATTGCATTGTGATCCTCTCCACTGTATTCTGGCTAATGGCATTTCTTGAGTATAGCTCTTTCAAAACACCTTCAGCCAAATCTGTCTCATCTTCATGAGCAATCCCCTCAACTAAGATTGTATATGTCGTTTCATTAGGAACATACCCCTTCTCAATCATCATTTCTAAGATATCAAACGATATATCAGTCCTCTGAGCTTTGCACAAACCAAGTATGAGAGCATTGTAATTGTCTATATCAGGCCTACAATCATTTTCCTCCATGACATCAAAAATCTCAATTGCTTCATCCAACATCCCCTCCATACAAAGACCTCTGATCAAAGATGAATTTGTGTATGAATCAGGAGTGAACCCATTTTTTGTCATCTCATTTAGAAGTTGGAAGGCAGCATAAGTGTTCCCTTTTTTGCAAAGGCACGAGATAACATTTCTATTAAAATCATGCATTGAAGAACTCTGCTTATTACCCAAGCTCTGAAGTATAGAAAAGGCCTCCTCTACTTTCCCCTCTCTACAAAGAACAGCAATTGCATTGTAAGTCCCTTCGTTAGGGAAACAATGCATATACATCATCATATCAAGGCACCTCAGTACCATATCCAATTTCCCCTCTTTACAAAACCTAGCAATTATAGGATTATAGCTAGCAGCAACAGGCATAAACCTATTCCTAACCATCTCCTCCAAAATATCGAGTGCTTGTTCAGTTCGACCATGATAAGCAAGAGAACCGATCAATATATTATAAGTTATACCACTCGGAGAACAATCATTAGCATTCATTTCATCTAAAAGCTCCTCAGCCTCCTCCCACCGACCATCATAACACAAACTCCTCAATAAAATGTTGTAGCTCACAACATTAGGCCTAAACCCTTTTGAAGGCAAATCACAAAAGAAAGCAATGGCTTCTTCAACTCGACCCTCTTTGCAAAGCCCGGTCAAAAGAACATTATAACTCACCAAATTTGGCTTCCCACCCTTAGCAATAATCTCATCCAAAAGTTTCACAGCCTCGTCTACTCCCCTTTCCTTATACGCAGCTTCTAATAGAAACGAGTATGTGAACACATTTGGTACTAGTCCCTTGTGTATCAACTTCTCCATAAGTTGCAAACTTTGTTGTAAATTTCCATGAATGCAAAGACCTCTAACCAATGAATTATAAGTCACAGTATTTGGAGGACAGCCGTATTCATCCATTCTATCGACTAATTGCATGGCGTAACCAACATTTCCTCTCTTGCACAATTGATTGACCAAAAAGGTAAACGTGGAGGAATCCGGAATCTTTCCAGCGCTAACCATCAACTCCATAACCCTAACGGCTTTTCGAATCTTATTCACCTTACAAAGATCATACAAGAGTTGGGTTGATTGAGCTAGGTCAGGCTTGTGCCCTTTGCCTACCATGTACTCCAAATACAGGAAGGCGTCACGGAGCTTGATCTCCTTGGTTCTCATGTCACTCTTGGAATCTCTCCAGGTGGGTAGAGTGAAAGGAGTCTCCTTTTGGGAAATGGTGATGTGGGTTGATGCTAAAACCCTAGAAAAACCCTTGTGGATTGAATTGTTATTGAGATTTGGGAGATGGTAATGGAAAAGATAGGGTTTTGTCTTGAATTTGTGCTTGGTTTTGGGGGTTGTCAGCGGAGAGATTGAATGCAAGAGGGCTGACGGCATTTTTCGTATCTTGTAAGAACAAAGTTAAATGAAGGGAAGAAAATAAACAAAATTGGGTTTTCTATACTAGATAATTGAAGATGAGGATAACGATAATTCTAGCATCATTATGCAATCAAAAGGCTATTTTAGAGAAAGAATGAGAGAAAGGAAAAATCCAGGGATAGAATTAAATACTCTGAAATTGTTGATTTGGTTCATGGCAGCAGATACAGAGGAGAGGTCGAGCTCCTCATCCACAAACGAAATCCTTGCTGCCACCCGTTCCCTGTTTGGTACATTATTCAGTCGGAACCTTCTACAGTTGTAATTTAAAACTTGAGTAAAAACCCCTCTAAATAACACTATTTGCATTTTAAGTCAATTTCTCTGTTGGAATTCCGTAACTTTCTTTCTATAATTTTTTATTTACCATCTTCTTTACCTTGAATTATTTTGGGGCTGTTTGGTTCGTTTCCTTGATATAGGGAAATACAATTCCATGTAAAGAAATACAAGTTTTGAGTTTTCCAAACTTTTCCAAGAAATAGATTGTTTTGCTTTGGTTCGCACATAAAAAATAGTGAGAAACCAATGCATTTATTTTTCTTGTGTTTGGTTCGCATAGAAAAAAGGAAAACTTTTGTAAACAAAGCAGAGAAGGAAAAAAATCTGACGTGGCAGAGTTTTCATCAATTTCACTCGGTTGGGGAAGGAAATCGGAGAGAGAAAAAATCCGAGCTGGTGGCGATTTCAGCAGTGTTTTCCCTCTTCCATCCGAGCGAACCAAAGCGGCACAAAGAAATGAACGGAAACAAAAAAAACTGACGTGAAGGGCTAACAATCTGACGTGGAGGGGTTTTCTGAGTTTTCCATCCCTTATAATAGCGAACCAAACAACCCTTTAAGCTCATCCGCTTCCCAGATCATTTATATACCAAAAACATCCTTCCATTGTGGCTGTTATGAAATAAACCCGTTAACCCCTCAACTCCAAAGGGAAAGCTTACAAGTACATAATCACATCAGACTATAGAATAACAAACCTTTAAATCTCCCTAGCCATACACACTACAATTTCAAAACAAAAAAAATCCAAAGCTGATAAAAAAAAATGGGAATTACAAACATTGATACTATATCATAGTTTGACTAATACTGCTAGCCTGCTACCTTTCTCTTGTTTATGACGACGATCTCTTAGTTGTAACCAATTCTCTCTTTCCTTAACTTCAGACTCATACATCAATTCTGCTTCCCAATCCTTATAAGTTAGTCGGCTTAACATGTATATTTTTACTCTTCTTGATTAGCTGCATCTAATCAAGTGATTTACAAAGCCTCTTATGGTAATGCACTTAACTTTATATTATTTCAAGAGACATTATGAGATTTAAGATCAAATTATAGAAATCTATCATGTTTTATAGAAGATTAACATAGGCAAAAATATCAAATTTGTATATTTTGTTTACCCTCAGTGGCAATTTGGTATGTATTTTTTCGGTGACATATTGGTATATAATTTTTTCTCTGGCGATATATTGGTGTATTATTTGTTCTCTGGCGACAAATGAGTCTCAAATTTGGCTGGACTCAAATTTCTGGCAAAATTTTTCACGTGACGCCTCACGTGATGCGAACGTGGCTCCCAGTGACAAATAATTACAACTAATCTCATACAAAACCATCCCTTTCTCCCTAAAAAAGCTAGAAATGAAGGTATTAAAGCTCACCACATTGAGAGTCGAAGGAGAATTTGAAGAGGTTGAAGGTGTGGAAGGCGTCAAAGAGGCAAGAGGAGCAGAGAAGGGAGGAGAGGGAGAGATGGAGGGGGAGGAAGGACATTGAGGGGTTAGGGTTTGAGATTGAAGCAGATTTATGACACTGAAAGCAATGCTGGCAGCCACTTCGCACCACGTGAAGCGTCACATGAGAAATTTCGCCGGAAATTTGTGTCTGGCCAAAATTGAGGCCCATTTGTCGGCAGAGAAAAAAACAATATACCAATATGTCGCCAAAAAATATATATCAAACTGTCACTAAGGTTAACAAAATATACCAATTTGGTATTTCTGCCGATTAACATATATATTGGGTTTAATAATAGATCAACTTCAGTGTTTTGTGTATATAAATCATACTTCCTTTAAAAGTACGAGTTCAGGAAATTATTTTCATGGTCAATGTTACCCTTACTTTTTTTTGAATATTACATTGTTATCTTAATCTATTATAACTATCATATCTTCTTTGCATTGATAATTAAATGTTTTATCATTTTCTTAATGAGACTTAATATGTTATTGGATAAAGGAGATACGTTTGATATAATTCAAATGCTTTACTTATTTCAGTTCGCAGAGAACTTTAAAAAATATATGCTAGCCAACATCTAAAAGTTTTTGGACTTTGTAATAAATATCCTCTAATATTAAATTGTAAAAACTATAGGGTCTTGTTTTTGCTTATGTATACCAAGTGTAGGATCGTAACCCTTAAGAATAGAGCGTGCTCTTATAAAAATCTGCGGAAGCTTTACACTTAAACACTAGAGGGTGAGTTTGCAAATTAGATTATAAATTACAAAGAAAGAATGACAATCTCAGAAAGTGAACATCACAAACACAAGCATGTATACTGGTTCCACCTCCCCGGTGTACATCCAGTCCCCAAGCAAATCCCGCTTGAGAGTTTTCACTATGATTTTGAAATATTATAAAATCAAAAGCATACCTGACCAATTTGCAAGACCATGCAAATTGCAACCCAATTGACAAGACTATGCCAATCGTCACATCGATCTCTAGACCAATAGATCAACTCTCTCAAACCTGAGAGAACCTTCCTTGAATCAATGTACAATTCCAATCCTATAAGCCTTGATGTGGATGTGAACGTGTAACAGTAGCTTATATCAATCTTTTAACTCTTAGAATATTGCCTAAACAAGCTCTAAGAATGATAGGGACAAATACAAGATCAGAAAACAATATCAGAAACTCTCTTTTATGGAAAAACAGATCGAAAAACTAAAAGTTTAGAGAGTTAATTTGCACAATATGTGAATCTTATGTTAGGAATCTTGACCCCAAGATTAGTTTATTTTGATGATAACAAATATTATATATTGTGTGTATTATGTGCTAATATTTGTTTTGCAGTATCAGAGCCATATCAACAATTATATTCAAAGAGATACTCAAGACATAGATGAGTTCAAGGCAAAATGAATCAAAGAAGAAGATATACTTTATTGTCTAAATATAATTTTATATTTTCTTTGCTTAGAAATTTGTACAAGCCTTGATCACTCACACACATGCACACACATAGTGTTAGAACACACTAACACATGCTTAGTGTATTGGTTAACAATAGAAATCTCCTATGTTAGCCATTAGAGTTTATAGATATTGAGTGAGTCTTAAAATATTTCATTTATACCCCATAACAATTAGAATCTGGAAAAACTCAAAAGATTAAAGTTGTAGGTCTCTTCAAGATCTTTTCAACAAATCTTAAATCACCTCATTCTGATATCGGATGAGAAAGTTACAGTCAAAATACTAAAAAGAATAATTCCAGAATCTGAGTTTACAGTGTAGTCGACTATTATACCTTGTAGTCGACTACTAAGTAATTTTCTGACTTCACAGAGTCTGTTTAGACTCGGTGTAGTCGACTACTATGACTTGTAGTCGACTATAGATGTAGTTTTTTCAGATTTTAGGTTTAAAATAAGTGATTGTTTATAGCCGCTTGTGGTCGTTAATTGGGTTTAAAATTATGTCATTTCAGAGGCTATAAATAGGTTTAAAGAACAGAAAACAAGCACCAAGTTTTGCACTTGCAAGATCAAATATTTTGTGCATATTCACTCTCTAATTTTCCAGATTTTCATGCTAAGTGTTTAGAAAAAGAGAGTTTCTGATATTGCCTTGGTTTCAATCATTAATAGAGATTGTATAGGCAATATTCAGAGAGTTAAAAAAATCCTAAGCCACTGCAGCACTTCACTATACATTCAAGGCTTATAGGATTAATTGTGTTCTTGCTTCAAAAAGGATTTCTCTCGGGTTTGAGAGGGTTGATCTATTGGTTTAGAGATTGGGTGGCAATTGGCATGGTCTTGTCAATTGGTGTTGCAATTTGCATGGTCTTGCAAATTGGTCAGGTTTGCTTTTGATTTTGTAAGGTTTCAAAATCATAGTGGAAACTCTCAAGCGGGATTTGCTTGGGGACTGGATGTACACCGGGGAGGTGGAACCAGTATACATGCTTGTGTTTGTGATGTTCATTTTCTGATATTGCCATTCTTTCTTTGTAATTTATAATCTACTTTGCAAACTCACCCTCTAGTGTTTAAGTGTAAAGCTTCCACAGATTTTTATAAGAGCGCACTCTATTCTTAAGGGTCACGATCCTACACTTGGTATACATAAGCAAAATCAGGACCCTACATCTTACAAGTGCAAAACTTGGTGCTTGTTTTATGATGTTTAAACCTATTTATAGCCTCTGAAATGACATAATTTTAAACCCAATTAATGTCCACAAAATGGCTATAAACGGTCACTTATTCAAAACATGAAATCTAGAAAAACTGCATCTGTAGTCGACTAAAAGTCATAGTAGTCAACTACACTGAGTCTAAACAGACTCTGTGAAGTCAGAAAATTACTTAGTAGTCGACTACGAGACATAGTAGTCGACTACACTGTAAACTCATAGATTCTGGAATTCTATTTTTAGTATTTTACCTGTAACTTTCTCATTCGACATCGGAATGAGGTGATTTAAGATTTGTTGAAAAGCTGTTGAAGAGACCTATAACTTTGATTTTTTGAGTTTTTCCAGATTCTAATTGATAAGAGGTATAAAAAAAAAATTTTAAGACTCACTCAATATCTATAAACTCTAATGGCTAACATAGGAGATTTCTATTGTTAACCAACACACTAAGCATGTGTTAGTGTGTTCTAACACTATGTGTGTGTATGTGTGTGAGTGATCAAGGCTTGTACAAATTTCTAAGAAAAGAAAATATAAAATTATATTTTGACAATAAAGTATATCTTCTTCTTTGCTTCATTTTGCCTTGAACTCGTCTATGTCTTGAGTATCTCTTTGAATATAATTGTTGATATAGCTCTAATACTGCAAAACAAATGTTAGCACATAATACACACAACATATAATATTTATTATCATCAAAATAAACTAATCTTGGGGTCAAGATTCCTAACAAAAACAACGCTACAAATTCAAAATTTTATTAAAACATCT